GGAAACCTGCAATTCAGAAATGTTGCATTTGAAATGTTTTGAACTGTCTTTCTCCCTCCAACTGTACCCTTTTCTCTTTGCTTTAATTTCAAAACCTTTCATAATCCACTTTGTCTGAGAGGCGAAAACGCTCAGAAGTGATGCACGTGACTTAGTTTTTACCAGCAAAGTGTTTCTGAATTAGCATTTCGTTCACGATCACTACAGCGGCTTCCAAAGACTAGCTGGAGATACGCATTCCAAAATGGATAGATCCAGTGTCCAGTAACATCAATAACATGGGATACCCACAACGACTTAAAATTTTCGGTATTTTAGTCGCAAATGAATATATGTGTTTTTAGTCTATTGCGAATTTAGGGATAAGAACCAAATAGCGTTTATGAATACTTCAATTCTAAGTCGTTCCAACAAATTCTAATTCAGTCGTTAGATATCATTCACTCAAATCTGTTGTAACTAGTGCTGTTCAGACGAATGAAGAATCGTCTGACAAAAAGGAATCGGCCAACAAACCTGATGCGCCTCCATCTCAAATGGATATAGAGCAATCGCCTGCTCAGCCGACGACTTCTCGTCAGGATCGCACTAGTGCATCTTCATCGCAAATGAACGTGGACCAATCATTCGATCAGCCGACGACTTCTCGTCAGGATCGTACTAGTGCATCTTCATCGCAAATGGATGTGGAGGAATCGTTCGATCAGCCGACGACTTCTCGTCAGGATCGTGCTAGTGCATCACCATCGCAAATGGACGATCAACGATCCGGTTCACCTGAAAGTTCGCAACCAACTAGCAGTACATAGTTTTGCCATGTTTTCTTTTTTGTGCGCGTGTTTCACAAGATTTTTTCTAGATTGCTGTACTTGAATGTGCTTGCTGGATACTGTTTTGCTGATTCGTGAAATTTTATGATAAAATTTTGAGGAAATGCTGAATTTGAAAGAAGCTCAACTGTAAGCGCGTCTTACTTTAGACTAATATTAGGGGATTTATGTTTTCCTATGTGTAGAATTGAAACACTGTAACAATAACTGGCCAACACACGGGCTGTCCGTGCGAAGATGCGTTTTTTGCATAGCTCCCCACAGATTTTTGTCGCTAACGGCACTGTTTTCTT